GGATTGAAATTCTCAGGTGCACTTTCGGGAATGTTGTATTACTTCAATCCGTTTAGGGCCCAATTGAAAAAGATTCAAATTTCGCTTTCAAATTTCAAAGGGGATTTATTTCCTGACAAACTGTTGAATCTTTATGGTTATAGGCTGAAGGTCGGATTTTTTCACTATCCACCTTTTTTGACAATTTTCAGAACGAAATCAGCTGTTGCATTAGATGGATCCGATTATCAGCTCGTGAAAATTCTTTCCGAGAAAATGAATTTTCGAATAAAGAACATTATTTCGAATAAAACAGTTTGGGATGCATCTGTATGTAAACGAGATGAGAACTCGGGACTACATAGAAAAATAATTTTCGGTCAGATTGATTTCATTGGGGTTCTAATTGGAGCACATTTTGTCCCTTGTTTAAAGAAACAAGTCAAGTATGTTGTTAGTCATTTTGAAATGATACAGATTTCGGCAGTGATACCAGATTTGTCAGAAGACAGTACTCTAGATTTAGTCGAATGGAATCTATCCTATTTGCTTGTAATTATTATCCTGCTACTGATGATTTGGCTATTTGTGAAAATTTCCAACTTTTCAGTAAAAAATTACCGTCTAATGAATCTGATAGGTATGATGCTAGGATTTTGTGTCCCAACAGACAGACCTCGAAAATCGGCAGAAATGCTTTTTTTCGCCACCGTCTTAATTACATGCTTCTTGAATTCCTCTGTGATTTTCACCGCATTTACCTACGACAATTTGCAGAAGAAAATTTTTACTGGAATCGATACACTGAACGGTTTGTACGGCTCAAATTTTACGCCAGTCATTAATTCGAATCATTTTTGGATTATTCCACGTGACAATTCAACGGAGGGGAAATATTTTGGGAAAACGTTGACATTTGCCAGGAATCATCAGCAATGTGTTGATTATTTGTTGAAACATAAAAATATAAGTTGTTTTATGCGGGACGCGCAATTTGATATGATTTTTGGTGAGATTAGGGAAAAACAAGGTAATCCGGCAATGCGAAAATTAAAGGAAAAATTCTTTAAAATGTTGGTCTCCATAAAATGTAAACCAGGTTCTCCATATGCAGCAAGTTTCGAAAAAATACTAGTTCGATTACCGGAAACCGGTATTCCGTTCAAATGGCATCGGAAGTATTTTTTTACGACCGTTAAAAAGTCTATCAAAAAAGAAACATTTCATGCTGAAACTAATGACCTGAATTCGAATATTCGAAAAAGCATGTACTTTATCTTAATTTTTGGATTCAGTTGTTCCATCTTAACATTCGTGGTCGAACTAATTTTACATTTTAGAATCAAAAAACATCGAGGTTATGGTTAGATGAAAGGGTAAATTTTGATTCAATAAAAATGTGAAAAAAAATTCTAAACACGAAACGAAAAATTATCGAAAGAATGTAATTAATTCTTTCGATAATTTTTCGTTTCGTGTTTAGAATTTTTTTCCATGTAAATTAATATCCAAAATACCAAATGCTATTTGTTTCGGTTTGAATTACAAAAAGACACAAAATACATACAAATTTTGATGAAATACAAATTTTATGCTGATTTTAAAATTTCAAAATGGCGGATCAAAATGGAGATCTTTTTTAATGTTGGTGCCCAATGTATAAGTTTTTTTTTTTAATATTGTTTGATAAATTCATTATTTTATTCTGCGGAAGAAAAACATTACAATTTCTTTAATTGTAAAATTAATCGAAAACAATAATTTCTTTTTTTTTAAATATTTTAAAATATTTCATTATTATTATTTTTCGCCAGGAATTAAAATTCTACAAAACATTCAAATTCAAACTTTTTTTAAATTAAACAAACTTATAAAAATATTTTAATAAAACATGAAGATATCGATTACTCCAAGTTATGACCGAGTGAAAAAACATTATTTTATATTTTAAGAATATTGTTACTGTATATATAACTATTTCAAAACTTATTTTCATCATTTCAATTCAATTATTATTTTCTAGAATTTTTAACCAAAATTCTTCTCTAAATTAATTATTTTTAATAATTTTTGAAAAAGTTATAAATGTTCAAAAAGTTTAAAAAATTTTTACAATCAAATTTTACTAAATTTCGATTATTCAAAAATTCTTCAATTAAATGTATATTAGAAAATAAAAACTTTAAATAATTTTAAAAAAATTCAATTAAACTTTTTCGAAAAAATTAATTCTCTACAGAATTTGCAGTGAAAAGTATGAAAAATAGAAAGTTTTCAAGATTTTAATTTGAAACCTTTTCAAAATTGAATTATTTCAAAAATAATTGAAAATTAAAAGCATTCTCACCGCATAATGCTTTTAATATTCAATTTATAATCTAAAATTTTAATTGAAATTCATTTTTAAAATCAATTTTTGTTAGAAAATTCTACGAGAATTCGATTATTAAATTTATTTAAATATAAATAAAATGCAAATAAATAATTTATTGGAATAATTGAATGTTTTTTAAAATTTAATTTTTATAGAGAATTTTGTAAACAAATTTTTAAATAATTTAATTATTTTGACGAATTTTAATAAATTTTTTTTTTTTTTTTTTTTTGACGAATTTTATAATAAATTTTTTTTTTATACATTTTTCAAGGAATTCGATTAAAATTGTAATAAAAATAATTGAAATTCTACGAAGAGTTTTATTATTTATGAAAATAATTAATTTCCTAAAAAAAATTTTTATTATTTATGAAAAATAATTAATATCCTAAAAAAATTTTTATTATTTATGAAAATAATTAATTTTTAAAAAAAAATTTTTATTATTTATGAAAATAATTGAATCTCTGTAAAGAATGTTATTATTTTTGAAAATAATTGAATCAATGTAAAAAATTTTATTATTTAAAGAAAATAATTGAATTTATGCGAAGAAATTTATGAAAAATTTATTTATAGAATTTTTTTGTATTTTTTAAAGTAATTTAATTTTTTCGAAGAATGTAATCAAACAAATTTTTTAAATAAATGAATTCTTCTGGAAAAATTTTTATTAAAATAAAGAATTTTATTAAAATCATTAAAAATCATTGAATTGAGAAAAATTTTTGAAAATTAAATTTTTTCGAAGAATTTAATCAAATTTTTTTTTAAATAATTGAATTCTTTTAGAAAATTTTTGTTAAAATGAAAATTGTATTAAAAATATTAAAAATCATTGAATTGAGGAAAATTTTTGAAAATTGAATTTTTTCGAAGAACTGAATCAAAAAGTTTTTTTTAAATAATTGAATTCTTTTGGAAAATTTTTGTTAAAATGAAAAATATATTTAAAATATTGAAAATCATTGAATTGTGAAAAAATTGTTGAAAATAATTGAAAATTTGCCTAGAATTTTATTAACATTTTTGAATAAGACACAAAAATTCAGAATTTTTTTATGAATTCGAAAAATTTAATTTTTTCAGACTTTCAGTATTTTTGGAAAAAACTTCTGAATTCCCCATCTCTGAATATAATTATTATAGTTATAACAGTATTAAAACTATATTCCAATTCATGCTTTATTTTTATGAAAAAAAAATTTTAATTAAAAATTTTTTAAATTTTATTATTTTTAAAAATCCTAATTTTATTTTCAAAAAAAAGTAAGTAAGAAGTTAGTAGCGCTCGAATTGTTGCTAGTTACTCTTAAAAAATGGAATATTTTACTTGATTTCAAAAAATCGATTATCGAAGGTTACTACATTTATAAATAATATGAGGCTTCATAGTTTTTTCCAATATCGCACATAGATCTAAAAAAATTGTACTAGGAGAATATAAAAGTAATTTTATTCGTAACTGTACGTTTGAAAAGATCTTTCGAAAGATATTTTAAAAGGTCATGTCATCAGTTTTGTATATTAAACAAAAAGTTTTCTATAAAATAAATTACAAACTTTTTTTCTATTGGAAAATATTGTTATTTTTAAATCATTTTGACAAAAAAGTTTAAAAACAAAATTACTCTACAATCCAAGAGAAGTGGTTCTACAAAAAAGGAAAAATCGAAAGGTAATTAATTTATTTTTCAAAAAATAATAAAATTTTTACTTTTTTTACAAAGCATTATTCTATCTTTCGACATTCAAACTAAAAAGTTCTTTTTTATAAAACAAAACTACTATTTTATATTTTTTATTTTAATTTATATTTTTTTATGTTCTTTATAATAACTATAATCAATTTTGCTGATTTATTAAATTTCGAAAGATCGAGTTTTATACAAAATTAAAAAAAAAACTTTATTTGCAATTATGAAAAAATAATTATTTAATCATTTTGCATTTTTTCTTCATAGTTAGTAGATAATTATGAATTTTAATTTTTATGAAATTTAAAAAAAAAAATTCATTCTGCTCTTTGGTAAATTCTATACAATTCTGTTTTTAGAATTTCGATGACATTTTTTTTAAAACTTTGCTTTTAAGAATTTTTTTAAAAATTGCTTTTTTTATACTTCTTAAATAAAACTTTCCTTCTAACAATTTTAAGTAATTAAAAGTAAAAAAATAAAAACAGAAAACAAACAAAACAAAACAATTAAAAAAAAAAAAAATAAAAAAACAATGAATTAGTAAATATTTTTTTCAAATAAAACTCGAAATATTTGCAGAATAAAAATTTGAATTTCTCTCATAATTTAGATTATTTTTCATTGTCTTATTTTTGTATATTTCAAAGTTGGTAAATTTTTAAATTTTTAAAATTTGAAAATTTAAAAAAAGAAATTTGAAATTAATTTTAAAAAATCATTTTTAATCCAAAAATTGAAAATAAAATTTTGCCTTTACCTAATTACGACACCAAATGATTACAATAATAATAAAAAAATTTTTTGGATGAATTTGATGTCGTGCAAATAATGATCACCTAAAATAATAATTGACAGATGCTTCTCATTTGGCCTAAAATAGAATTTTATCATTGATAAGACTTTAATTTATAAACATGTTAACATTTCTCTGATAAGAGAAGACAACAGTGTTCTATTTCATAAATTTATTTTCTTTATCATTTTACATTCGAGTGGACATTAATAATTTTTTTCTTTTTGCAAAAGAAAAAAAGTTCGTGGCATTATGATTGAAAAAAGTTTTCGAATCTCATTGTTATTTTCACTATTGGCTTTAAATTATTATTCAGTTGCTCAATATTTTGATAATCCTCAAAAGTTTGAGTTTGAACCAAATTGGGAGAGTTTGGATAAACGAACTTTGCCTTCTTGGTACGATGATGCAAAATTTGGAATTTTCATTCATTGGGGTGTGTACAGTGTTCCCAGTCTTGGATCCGAATGGTTTTGGAAAAGTTGGAAAGGTACTTCTATTATTTTTTGATATAATGTAAAAAAAAAAAAAAGTAATTATTGGATGTTCTATGAGATCTCTGTTCTATTAAAAAAAGTTGGAAAGGTACTTGTATTATTTTTTATTTTTTGATATAATATTAAAAAAAAAAAAAAAAAAATTAATTATTAGTTATTGGATGTTTTATTAAATTTAAAGTCAAATTGATAACTAAACTAATGATTAAAAACTCGAATTTTATTTTCAGATGGAAATCTCATTATCAATAATTTTATGAAAAAGAATTATCCCCCTAATTTTTCGTATCAAGAATTCGGTCGCGAATTTACTGGCGAATTTTTCGATGCTGCAAAGTGGAGTCAACTTTTTAAAGATTCAGGTGCAAAGTACGTTGTCTTGACGAGTAAACATCACGATGGTTTTGCACTTTGGCCATCGAAATATTCCTACAGTTGGAATTCCGTCGATGTTGGTCCTCATCGTGACATAATAGGTACAATTTTTTCTCATATTTAACAAAAAAATTTTTTACCCTATATTTATTGAAATTAGGTTCAAAAAAAATTTTTTTTTTTTAAATGGAATATTAAATCTTTTCCTGAAAATACTTTTTGTGCCAATTTTCAGTCCTCTGGGTCAAAACGACCGAAATCTTTTTATGATTATATTCTTTGTGCCAATTTTCAGTCCTCTGGGTCTAAATGACCGAAAACGACCAAAATCGAATTTAATGATATTTTTAAAAGTAATAAAATAAATATAAAAGAAAAAAAAATGTTCGACAGGTGAATTGTCGAATGCAATCCGAGCAAAAACGAATTTAACGTTTGGACTTTATCACTCTCTCTATGAATGGTTTCATCCACTTTACTTGGAGGACAAAAGGAACAATTTTAAAACGAATAAATTTGTTGTGGACAAAGTTATTCCACAATTGTGGGAGCTTATTGATTTGTATAAACCGGAAATTCTTTGGTCTGATGGCGATTGGGAAGCTCCTGATGATTATTGGTCGTCGACGAAAATTCTCAGTTGGCTTTATAATTTGAGTTCAGTGAGAAAAACCATTGTTGTTAATGATCGATGGGGTATTAACGTAACTTGTCGTCATGGAGATTTTTATACATGTTCTGATCGTTATAATCCAGGTGATTATAAAAGAATTTTGTTTTTCATAATATTAATTTTGATAAAATAAAAATAAAAATAAAAAAAATAAAAAAAATAAATAATAAAAAAAAATAAATAATAAAAAAAAATAAATAATAAAAAAAAAATAAATAATAAATAAAATAAAAATAAATAATAGTTTTTTCAATACAAAATTTTGTTGAGGAATAATAATTCCTCAACAAATTTTGTATTGAAAAAAAATTTTTTTTTTAATTATATAATTTTTTGAAAAAGTATCACAAAAAAACACAAAAAAAATAAATTTTTCTTTCTTAACATGAACTCAACATGAAATTATTTTTTTTAATATAATTTTTTTTTTTTTTTGAAAAATTTTTTTTTTTTCATTTTAATTTTTTATAAAAGCAGGACAATTTTTATTTTTATTTTTGAAAATGATTATGTTAATTTTTCTAAATTGATTACTAAAAATATTGTTTGTGCGAATTGTAGGAGTTTTAATAAAACACAAATGGGAAAATGCAATGACAATTGATCGAAAGTCTTGGGGCTTTCGAAGGAATGCTGATTTAAAGGATTACATGTCTGTTCGAGATTTGGTTCGAGAATTGGTAGTCACAGTGAGCTGTAATGGAAATTTATTAATGAATGTAGGTCCCACTAAGGATGGAATTATAAGTCCAATTTATGAAGAACGACTTCGAGGAATGGGTAAAGAATTAATAAATTCTTTTTCAATTTTTAATTTTTTTTTTTTTTTTTTTGCTTAGGGGATTTTGGGAAATCTGCCTACAAATACCTTGAACCCTTTCATTTCGAACCCTTTAAGTAATTTTAAAAATAATAGAATTAAATTTTTAGAATTGTTAAGAAAATTCTGAATTTTTGTGTATTTTTTAAAAATTTGACCGCCATATTGGAACCGCCATTTTGAATTTTGCAATTCTGTTATCAAATAAGTAATCGTTGAGAATATATAAATAATTTTCCAATATGGCAGTCGAATTTTTAAAAAGCCAACAGGCTTTTTAAAAATTCGACCGCCATATTGGAACCGCCATTTTAAATTTTGCAATTCTGTTAAAAAATACGTAAAATCGTTTTTTTCAGGATCTTGGCTCTCTGTAAATGGAGAAGCAATTTACAATACAAGACCTTGGAAAACTCAAAACGATACACTATCTGGAGATGTTTGGTACACGGAGAGCAAAAATGGCGAAAAATTATACGCCACTTTTCTCTCATGGCCAAAAAATAATATTGTCAAATTAGGAAGTGTCTCGTTATTATCTTCAGCTACTGTTGAATTTCTTGGCCTCGAAAAAAAACTCACTGTGAGTTTGAACATTTTTTTTTATTTATTACAATTCACAATTTATTTATTTTTTACTTTATACGTTTTAAAAATAATTTTAAGAAACTAAAATTTTTTTTTTTATTTTATTGACTTTATACGCTTTGAAAATAATTATAAGAAACTAAAAAAAATTTTTTTTTTTTCAGTGGCAAAAAAAGTCTTCTGAACTGTGGATAAATCTACCTGAAAGTGCTCCAAAAGAAGAGCCTGCATGGGTACTAATATTAAAACAATACATTTCGATTGATAAATAGAAAAAGAAATTTTTTTGAAAAAACTGTGTAAATAGATTTTGCTTTTTTAAAAAAAGAAATCTTTTTTTTTTAAAGAAATAATTTTAATTAATAAATAATTTTTTTTCATAACTTGTTTAAAAGGAAAATTAAATTTTTGATTTTATTTTGCAACGAAAATTTTTATATTTCAACTATTTTGAAAATTACTTTTTCCGTAAATATATATATTTTTTGTCCACATTCTCCGGCGTTATTTGAATTTACATTTTTTTAATTTAAAAAAATCAGGAGTTAAAAAAAATTGCGAAAGGTGGTTTTTAGCATGATCCGAATTCTCTCATCCATTTTTCGTACTTTTTCAAATCTTCGGCGGAAACGCTTTTATTGCATCTCTCAATTGCCTCGTAAAAATCTGCCGATGTTACGGGCAAATCCAGTTCATCTTTTTTAATCTGCTTTATTTCGTCAGGTTTCAAGCCAGCGATTTTTTTACGCATTGACATCATTGATGCGTCTCTATGGAGAGGAAATTTTTTTTCAATTAATTTCAAATCAAATTTTTAAATTAAAAAAAGAAAATTATTTTTTAAAATTAATTTTTGAAAAAGAAAAAAAGTTAAGTAAGTATTATAGAACAAAAAAATATTGTTATATATACCTGCAAACATTTGCAATATCTGCACAAGAATATCCATCGAGTTTACTCGCCATTTCACTGAGGTCTACTGATGGATCAATTTTAACATCCCGAAGACTTATTTTTAATAATTCTAATCTTCCTTCATCTAAATTATTTTTTTACTCTTTATTATAATAACTATCAAATGATTTTGATGAAATTCTTTTTAAAAAATTATTATTTTCAAGAATTTTAATAAAAATTTAATTATTTTCAAAAATTTTAATAGAAATTCAATTATTTTTAAAAATTTTGATGAAATTCTTTTCAAAAAATTATTATTCTCAAAAAATTTGATAAAATTCTTTTTTAAAAAATTACCTATTATTTTCAAGAATTTTAATAAAAATTCAATTATTTTTAAAAATTTTAATAAAAATTCAATTATTTTTAAGAATTTTAATAAAAATTCAATTATTTTTAAGAATTTTAATAAAAATTCAATTATTTTTAAGAATTTTGATAAATTTCTTTTTAAAAAATTATTATTTTCAAGAATTTTAATAAAAATTGAATTACTTTTAAAAATTTTAATGAAATTCTTTTTTTAAAATTATTATTTTCAAAAATTTTAATAAATATTCAATTATTTTCCAAAAATTTGATGAAATTCTTTTAAAAAATTCTTTTTTAAAAATAAGTTTATTAAAAATTCAATTATTTTTTCAAAAAATTTAATGAAATTCTTTTTTAAAAATAATTTTTTAAAAGAATTTTAATAAAAATTGAATTATTTTCAAGAATTTCAATGAAAATTTAATTATTTTTAAAAATTTTAATAAAATTCTTTTTAAAAAATTATTATTTTCAAGAATTTTAATAAAAATTCAATTATTTTCAAAAAATTTAATAAAAAAACCATTATTTTTAAAAATTTTGATGAAATTCTTTATAAAAAATTATTATTTACATTTTTTTACAGATTTTAGAAAATTTTCGAGAATATGAAAAATTTCAAATTGTTGTTTGCAACTTCGGCTAACTTCTTTATACTTTAACTGAGAAAATTTTTATTTAAAGTCTTTATTAAAAATTCTTTTAGAAATTTTTATTTTTTATTTAATTTATGACTAACCATTTGGTAAAGGAATGTATATTCGTTTTTCTAAACGTCTAATCAATGCTTCATCAATGTCCCAAGGATAATTTGTCGCAGCAAGAACCATTACAACTTTTGGTTCATCTTCACTGAAATTTTAATTTTAATTATTTAATAGATTTCACTAAAATTTTCTATTTTCAAATTCATTTTACATAGTTTTTTCTCTATTTCACATAAAAATTTTAATTTCAAAACTGAAACAAAAATGAATTCAGTTTCACATTTGAAATAAAAGTTTTCATTTAAATTTAAAAGTTTTTTAAATTAACCATTTTTTTAAATTAACATTTTTAAATTAAAATTTCAAATTAAAATATTTAAATTCAAATTTTTAAATACAAATTTTCAAATTCAAATTTATAAACTAAAATTTTTAAACTACAATTTTTGAATTAAAATTTTTAAATTAAATTTAAAAATTAAAATTTAAGTTACTTTTAAAATTTTTCAATATTTAAAATTTACATTAAAAAAAGTTTAATTTAGGTAAGTTAAACTTAAAAAATTTAAATAATAAGTTAAATTTAAAATAGACATTAAAGTAAAATTAAAATACATATTTGAACAAATTCCATCCATTTGAACAAGAAATTCTGATTTGAATCTCCTAGAGGCCTCGTGTTCTGAATTTGAACCACGTTTTGAACAAAGCGAATCGATTTCATCGATAAAAATTGTACTCGGTGCATGAAATCTTGCCTACGAGAAGTGAAAAAAATATATTTTATTGTAAACTCTAATTTTCTGTCAGCAAACTGTAATTATTTTTTTATTTCACTTTTTGTGATTTTTCTAAAGAATTCAAAAGTGAAATTTAGAAGCAAAAATTGATAGTGACAGAAAATTTAAACAGTTTTGAACCAAATTCTAAAATTACCGGACTTTTTGCACTTTTTGGGGTCGCTGATAACGAATTTAAAGTCAAATTTTCGAAATTTTCAAAATTCAAAATGGCGGATCCAATATGGCGGACATTTTCTTCAAAATTGCTTAAATTTGCATAAAACTTTTTACTCAGGGGTTTTCAGTACCGCTGATTACGAATCTGAAGTCAGATTTTTAAAATTCAAAATAGCGGACATTTTTTTTCAAAATTGCTCAAATTTGCATAAAACTTGTTAGTCTGGGGTTTTCGGTAACGGTAATTACGAATTTGAAGTCTAATTTTCAAAATTCAAAATGACGTCCCTGAAAACCATCGAGTAACAAGTTTCAACTGATTTTGAGAAATTTTTAAAAAATTTCCGCCATATTGGATCCGCCATTTTGAATTTTGAAAATTTTCTTAATCTGACTTTATAGATTCGCAATCGGCGACCCAGAAAACTCCCTGAGTCACGAAAGGGTTAATTATAAAAAAAAATAAGTTAATTAAAAATATTCTACCATTTCAAATAAAAGTCGTACTAGTCTTTCAGACTCGCCTCTATATTTTGAAGTTACAGTCGATGGGGAGACGTTGAAGAATGTAGTTTCATATTCAGTTGCTACTGCTTTAGCCAACATTGTTTTTCCCGTTCCAGGTGGACCAACCATTAAAACTCCCTTCCATGGTCTTCGAATTCCCTGAAATTCAATTATTTCATAATTCGAATTGAATAATTTTTGTGTTAAAATAATTTATTTATAAATTATAATTTAATTATAAATTTAAATTCCAAGTTTTTAATTATAATAATTTTATTGATTTATTTTATTTATTGTATTATAATAATATGATAATTTAATTTGGTGAAAAATTCTGGGAAAATTCAAATATAATTTATGTTTTATAAATTTTATTTGATAAATTTTTTTATTTACAAAATTTTAATTTTAATAATTTTATAATTAAAGTTTTATAATTTAAATTTATTTTTACAAAATAATACAATGAAACACTAAAAGAGAAACATAAGTTATTCAATATTTTCAAAATGGTCGCATTTTTGTAACGTTTACATTTTTCTAAACACGTAACGAAAAGTACTTTAAAAAAGTCTGGCATCAAAATTGGAAGAATCACAGCTTCCTCAAGGAGTCGTTTAACCTGATGGAGTTCGGCAATATCATCCCAATGAATATTTGGATTATTTTGAAGAATATCCTTTTCTAAAAATTGAAAAATTTACTTTTATATCCACTTTTTATAAATATTTTCTTTTAGTTTGAAAATTTTTATTTAATTTTCCATTGCCTTTAGAGGAGGTTCACATAATATTTGTTATTTTGTTGGTTTCAAGTTAATTTTGTTATCAATTTAGAGAAAAAAATTCGTCCGCCATTTTGGATCCGCCATTTTGAATTTTACAAATTTGACATTAAAATCGTCTTTTTTTAAAAATAAAAATTTTAAAGTAAAAAAAAAAAATAACTGGATAATTAACAATAAGTCATAAATGTTTGCAGAAAAAAACTTTCAGAGTTCGAATATAAATTTCGTCGTTGCAATGAGAAACCTCCTTTAATAAAGTCTATAATGAATCTATTAGTAAACTGTACCTAATAGTTCTATGAGTTTATTTAAATTTCCGGATGAATTAAATTTTTCTGTATGAGATTTGGAAGGAGCTTTAGGAGATGTTTCTTTTTTCTAGAAAGAAATAAAATTTATACACTGAAAACTTTCCTTTATTTACTACTCTTGGAAATTGTAATTTCTACGATTATATTCTAAGATTCTAAGATTAAATTTGTAATTTAAGAATTTTAATTATGTAATTTTAATTTAGTAATTTTAATTTTGTAGGTAATTTTAATTATGCAATTTTAATGTAGTAGGTAATTTTAATTATGTAATTTTAATGTAGGAGGTATTTTTAGTTATGTAATTTTAATTTAGTAATTTTAATTTAGTAGGTAATTTTAATTATGTAATTTTAATGTATTAGGTTATTTTAATGATGAAATTTTAATGTAGTAGGTAATTTTAACTATGCAATTTTAATGTAGTTGGTAATTTTAATTTAGTAATTTTAATTATTGAATTATGATTTAGTAGATAATTTTAATTTAGTAATTTTAATTTTGTAGGTAATTTTAATTATGCAATTTTAATGTAGTAGGTAATTTTAATTATGTAATTTTAATGTAGGAGGTATTTTTAGTTATGTAATTTTAATTATGTAATTTTAATGTAGTAGGTAATTTTAATTATGCAATTTTAATGTAGTTGGTAATTTTAATTTAGTAATTTTAATTATTGAATTATGATTTAGTAGATAATTTTAATTTAGTAATTTTAATTTTGTAGGTAATTTTAATTATGCAATTTTAATGTAGTAGGTAATTTTAATTATGTAATTTTAATGTAGGAGGTATTTTTAGTTATGTAATTTTAATTTAGTAATTTTAATTTAGTAGGTAATTTTAATTATGTAATTTTAATGTATTAGGTTATTTTAATGATGTAATTTTAATGTAGTAGGTAATTTTAATTATGCAATTTTAATGTAGTTGGTAATTTTCATTTAGTAATTTTAATTATTGAATTATGATTTAGTAGATAATTTTAATTTAGTAATTTTAATTTTGTAGGTAATTTTAATTATGCAATTTTAATGTAGTAGGTAATTTTAATTATGTAATTTTAATGTAGGAGGTATTTTTAGTTATGTAATTTTAATTTAGTAATTTTAATTTAGTAGGTAATTTTAATTATGTAATTTTAATGTATTAGGTTATTTTAATGATGTAATTTTAATGTAGTAGGTAATTTTAATTATGCAATTTTAATGTAGTTGGTAATTTTCATTTAGTAATTTTAATTATTGAATTATGATTTAGTAGATAATTTTAATTTAGTAATTTTAATTTTGTAGGTAATTTTAATTATGCAATTTTAATGTAGTAGGTAATTTTAATTATGTAATTTTAATGTAGGAGGTATTTTTAGTTATGTAATTTTAATTTAGTAATTTTAATTTAGTAGGTAATTTTAATTATGTAATTTTAATGTATTAGGTTATTTTAATGATGTAATTTTAATGTAGTAGGTAATTTTAATTATGCAATTTTAATGTAGTTGGTAATTTTCATTTAGTAATTTTAATTATTGAATTATGATTTAGTAGATAATTTTAATTTAGTAATTTTAATTATGTATATTTAATTTAGTAAGTAATTTTAATTATGTAATTTTTATTTAATAATTTCAATTATATACTTTTAATTTTGCAATTTTAATTTAGTACTTAATTTAAATTTTGTAATTTCAATTTAGTGTGTAATTTTAATTCAGTAAGTAATTTTAATTTAGTAGGTAATTTCAATTATGTAATTTTAATTTAGTAATTTTAATTTAGAAATTTTTATTTAGTAGGTAATTTTAAATATGTAATTTTAATTTTGTAGGTAATTTTAATTATGTAATTTAAATTTAGAAATTTTAATTATGTAATTTTAATTTACTAATTTTAATTTAGTAATTTTATTAAGGGCATTTGAACCTTGATGACGTCACACATGCTTTGCACAAAGTGTAACGTCATCAAGGTTCAAATGCCCTTAAACTTGATGGAGTTTTACTCGACTGTTTGTATAAGAGAGAAATTTATTTGATTCTTCTTTTTCGATTGCTTTCTTTTTGGTTTTTTTCAAATCACTCTTATTTCCATCCTTCCTTAAAGTTGTTTCGAATGGTTTGCGCAGTGTTGTGTTTGTTGGCTGAATTCTTTGTTGAATTCTGCTCGATCTTTGATTTCTGAAGTGGAAAAATTCAGGAATTTCAAAAATTGTCAAGACCAAAATACTTATCAAAATAATTATAGTTAAAAATCATGGTTTTTGATTTTAAAGCTTTTCAGTCGCCATTTTGAATCCACCATTTTGAATTTTGAAAATTTCACAACAAATTCAGATTCCATCCGATTTTTTTTTTATTTAAAATATTACTTTTGATCTGGTTGTGAAGTTGTACGCCAAATTTCGGAATCCTGAGTAAAACCTTTTGATGGAGTTGAAGGTACGGATCGAAAAAGTTGATAACAATTTTCTGAAGAATCATTTCCAGAAGCAGTGTCTCTCGTTGGTTCCTCGTGGGATAAAGATGACTTTCCAGCTAAATTGAATAAATAAATTAGTAAATTAATGAAAATTTTTAAAAAATTAAAAATTTTTTCTTTTAAATTATAAAATATTGATGAAATATTAATTAAACTTATTTCAAAGTTTGAAATTATTATTTCATTCGAGTAATTTTATCTCTTTCAGAAAAAAAATTCACTAACGTCTAAAAATCAGCTTCCTATTGTGGTTTTACCTTTCTTAAAATTATTCAAATAACTATTAATTATTTAAAAAAAAATTTATTATTTAAAAGAGGAAATTTAATATCATCGCAAAAATATTACCAAGAAATGAATTTCTCTGAATATCCATTTGAAAAAGATTTAAAGCATACGAAGCGGCTTTAACCTGTTCAAACTCGTCAGTAATTTGATTCTGAATTTGAAACCATTTTGCTCTTCGGGTTTCGCTTATGATACTTTCCATCAATGTTTCTATTTGCTCAATTACTGTCTGATAATAAATTTCTGATGATTCATATTTTCCAGTCAAAGCCATTTCTCTCGCCTCTTTTGTATTTTTGCAAATTTGAATTATCAACACATCCATTTTTCTAAAGTATTCATTTAAATATAATTGAAATTAATAAAAAAGGATTCGGTAAAAATAAAAAAAAAATTTATCACATTTTGTACATTTAAACAAAATTGATAAAAAGGTTATTAAAAATTTAATTACCTGACCTTAATTTTACTTCTTTATTTTCTATTTGTAAAATTTTTCCTATTCGTCAATTTTGGAGAAATTTCTAAATTTTTCAATAATTTTTCATCGGATTCCCTTAAGTGATGTTTAAGAATACAGTAATTTTTTAAATTTACACTATAAAACATTTTTTTAAAAAATTATTTATCATTCTACATTAACGACAAATTATCTTTTGTTTTTTTTTCGAAATGTCATTGAAAATTCGTATATCAAAATAATTGTAAAAAAATGTATTTTTTTCTAATTTTTCTCTTTCTAAAAGATTGTGCAAAAATTTCCCAATATTTTTCAGCATTTATATAAAACTTTTCTTCTATTCGGCGGCGTTTTATGTTAAAAAGAATCGGCAATTTTATTGAAATTGCATCTTGAAAATTCGATTGAGATTCTTCAACCACTTCAATAACTGAATCTTACTCTACTTTTCTAAACTCTGAAATAAACTTTTAACCTATTTGCTTCTTAAAGGAAAAAGTTACGTTTTTCATACTCTCACACACAACTTTTTTTTCACAAAAATTTCCCTGCATATTTCTTTCGAAAGTGTAAATCAATAATAAAAAAAAAAGAAAAGAAGAGAAAAGAAATTCTTCAGGTATTTGATATATTATTTGTATAATGGATGGGGAATTTTTACGTAAATATATTTTGTTTTCAAAAAACTTTTTTTTTTATTTTTAACCAAAAAATATTTTAAATAATTAATTATTTTTTGGCATAGTGGATTTAATTTAGAATTTTTTTTTGTGTTAGGGAAAAATTAAAAATTTATAATTTTCTTCACACTACAACAATTTTTAATCAAAATTGATCAATTTTTCCAATTTCCGCCATATTGGATCAGCCATTTTGAATTTTTATAATCTGAATTCAGATTCGTGATCAGTGACCTCAAAAACCTCCCGAGTAACAAGTTTTATGCAAATTTGATCACTTTTTACAAAAATTTCCGCCATATTGGATCCGCCATTTTGAATTTTTATAATCTGAACTCAAATTCGTAATCAGTAACCTCAAAAACCCCCCGAGTAACAAGTTTTATGCAAATTTAAGCAATTTTAAAAAAAAAGTCCGACATATTGGATCCGCCATTTTGAAATTTGAAAATCTGACTTCAGATTCGTAATCAGCGATACCGAAAACCCCCGAGTAACAAGTCTTATGCAAATTTGAGCAATTTTGAAAAAAATGGCCGCCATATTGGATCCGCCATTTTGAATTTTGATAATTTCGAAAATTTGACTTTAGATTCGTAATTAGCGACCCCAAAAAGTGCAGAAAGTCCAGAAATTTCAGAAATTGGTTCAAAAGTGCTTAAATTTCTTTTACTATCAATTTTTGCTGCTAAATTTCACTTTTGAATTCTTTTAGAAATTGAACTTTATTAGAAAATAAATAATTGGAAAATGGTTTTTAGAAAAAACTGTTTCTCGACCGTTTTTAAAAATACTTTTAGGCGATAAAAATAAGGGAGTCATGATAAAGTAAATCAGTTCGAACAAGACGACAAGTTTCCCAACTACCACAATAGATGTCAGAAGTGATACCGTTGCGGAATGAAAATTTTCCGATCAATATAATATTGTTTCTAGAAGTTTCAAACTCTAAAACCATCACAAACATTAAAATAATTACTTAGTGATATTAATTATTAATATTTCTCGATTTATTACAATTTTCGGAATTTTTTAACTTATTGTTAAATATATAATTATATTTCTAACGAAACAACAAAATTTGCATACTATTTGTTTCCTTTCAAAGAATCCTCATTGGATCCAGTTAAAGACAAACAATACCCTAAATTTTTCAACTTTACAATACACAAAAGCCAATTAGTAATTTGTCGATACAGCAATAAATTTCTAATTGTACATCCTATTTAAAACTTAATAGAGGATTAGGGATTATGTACTTAAGGAATCCAATTAGAATTCTCTCTAGACGTATAATAAAAACTTTATCCCCTATCTATAAACTTCTAGTGGTTTTTTTTAATCAATTTTTATTAGGATATTTTTTTACTATGGAATTTAATTTCAGAAAACAGATAGAGGAAAAAAGTTTTTTCGATAAAATTTTTCGAGTGAAAAATTAATCTGCTTAAGCTTGAATTCCGAAAATTAAATCCTCTGATGTAGAAAGAGACATCAATTCTAGGTGATCCAGAATCCAGTACCAGTGGCAGCGGGAGTTTAATTTATTTTAGTTGACATTTTAATTGTGAAGATACTATATGGGAAACGCGAGGAGGGAGGGCGATGAAATATTAGGTACAGCACCACACGAAGGGACTTACAAAATTGTGACGAGAGAGGTTCAACTCGCAGAGAGAAAGGAGAAAATTTAGATTGGTTAATTCTAAACTTGCAGGTTAAGCAAATGTTGAAGGTGGAAGTGAATTGGGAGAATATTTCCAGGAAGTGTAGTTTTTGAAAATTCCAATCCTTGTTCTGAGGGAAATTTGACGGAAATTATTATATCAGAATTCCGACTGACGAAGCAAAAAGTTTTTCGGGGGAAAATGTGCTATGAAAAGAAGGAAAGGGGTAAATTTACCAAACGTTCTTTAGGATCTAATTTAGAAAAAGTTTAATTCAAAAAACTCAAGAGGAGTCTGTAAGCAGTGGGTTAGGGACTTGTTCTTTGAAGTTAGTTTCAGAATTAAATCTGGTTTGGAATGAGAATAAGTTAATGAGTCTTCTAACTGTTGTGGGAGAATGTTTACTCAAAAACGAGGAAAGAAAGACTTGCCAATAATTCAGAGAAGATCCAGGCTAATCAGTCATCCATTTTCGTCATCCTCCTATAGGGTCCCCTACCTGCCTAGTTCAGGGATTAAGTCCATGAGCCAAAAATAAATAACAATCAGTTTTTCGTCAGCGTCCTGCACGATCCCTCACCTGCCTAGTTCAGGGATTAAGTCCACGAGCTAAAAATAAATAACAATCAGTATTTCGTCAGCCTCCTATAGGGTCCCTTACCTGCCTAGTTCAGGGAATAAGCCCATTAGCCAAAAATAATTAAAAAAAACTTAACCACGAAAGTAATTAGAGTGGGGGTGTTATCATATCCTCCCCTCCCTTGAAAGGAACAGTATAAAGGATTACCACCATTGCCGAATTCGTCAGTCCCGAAACTGCCACCAAGTAAACTAGTTGTGTACTGTCATCAAGTGTCTTCTTCGACTCCAGAAAACCTCTTCAAGTACCAAGTGCATTCCTCGAGTCTCGTCTTAGTCAAGTTCATTCAAGGAGATAATTTCTACTACGAGGAACATTTCTATTTTCCCAAGGACTGCATTACGACGACATCAACATCAAATTAATAATTAGGTTACTCTAAGTCTGAGGGGTGTTCAATCTAATCTGCATCGACACCTGTATTCAAACCTTTCACTTTTGTGTGTCCCGAAAATAATTTAAGGAAAATCTACTGCATTCTCTGTTTCCGCTAGACAAAGTCATTTCCTAGACCTCACACCGAAGCTCATTAGGTTCCACGACTCCAAGAATAATTCTAAAATGTAAATAACCAATACTTTAAATTTTATCCCCATTCAAATTCTCGATTGGTTTCCCAAAGTTCTAATTTTCAGTGTGCCTAAAGACATCTGGATCTACTCTTTCTCTCTGATTCTAATTGTAAAGGATTCAAATAAAAACTTTTGACTGGTCCGAAAACAATTTGAGGGAAATCTACTGCATTCTCTGTTTTCGCTAGACAATGTCATTTCCTCGACCTTAAATTTTTAATATCTTAATTTTGATACCAAATGTCTCTGGCTTCCTTAATTTATGTTAATTTTTTTACCTCACGATTTATGTCACCCCAATTGGAAAATCATTACCAAATATCTGAATTATCATCGAAACATTAGCAAGGTAGTGAAATTCACGACATTGCCTTGTTCGGAGAATTTCCTACAAGAGCAAATTTTCAGTGAGATGTCACTTGGGTATTAAATTCTCATAACAATCACAACCCCTGATGGTGTGTGCCATTATCAAGGGAATTGGGATTTTACATGCTCGATCATGACAGAGCTTTGCCGGCATTGCAGATGATCCAAAACTGTCTGTCTAGAGGGTTATAACTATGAGCATGTATGTAGGAAACAGTATCATTTATCTTCCACCTTGAACGATGTTGGAAACATTTCATATATATAGAGAGAGTAGTTACAACGAGTATTTCGACAGTTAAGTTGGAAAACTCAAATTTAAACTATCATTTACACAACGTTGGGTGCATATCACTCGCAAACCGGAGAATCTGCAACTTAAACTTATATGTTTACAATTGAGATGTTTAGAAATGATGGGTATTTGAAATTCTCACGAATTAAGTCACTTAAATCAAAGGGGTAATTGTTGATGCGTGTCTATTAAAATGTTTTCAGTGAACTATTTCGAAGTCACTTTTTCTGATTCTGTAAAGGTTAATTTTGTGTTTTAGAATTCCCTTTGACTTTGATTACGAAAATCCAAATTCGAACTTTTGTTTTCAAATTCAAAACAAATGAAAAATTGTCTAGTTTTGAAAAACTCGTATTGAAAAATGAAAACTGAAAATTTCTGGTGTTATTAAAAGATTTCGTTAATTTTAACAAACACTATATTTTAGCAGATTTTAATTGTCCCAACTTAACTATTGTGGTCTATTCACAGATTCAATTAAATACCTAATTAGTAAAAGGAGCTTAATTTTCACAATAGTTAATAACGTCATTACGGAGTGTGATGACCCGCATGTTTTGCTTAGATACAATGAACGCAGTAGAGTGGAATGATACAAGGAAAAACAATAGACGGAGAATTATACACAATATAGAGACATAT